ACTGACACAGGGACACACACTGACACAGGGACAGCGACACACACTGACACAGAGACAGGGACACACACTGACACAGGGACACACCACTGACACAGGGACACACACTGACACAGGGACACGACACACCACTGAACAGGACAGGGACACACCACTGACACAGGGACAGGGGCAGGACACAGGGACACACACTGACACAGAGACAGGGGGTCAGGGACACACACTGACACAGAGACAGCGACACACACTGACACAGGGACAGGGACACACACTGACACAGAGACAGCGACACACACTGACACAGGGGACACACACTGACACAGGGACAGGGGGACAGGGACACACACTGACACAGGGACAGGGACACACACTGACACAGGGACAGGGGGACAGGGACACACACTGACACAGGGACAGGGACACACACTGACACAGGGGACCAGGGGGACCAGGGACACACCACTGACACAGGGACACACACTGACACAGGGACAGGGGACAGGGACACACACTGACACGGACAGGGACACACACTGACACAGGGACAGGGGGACAGGGACACACACTGACACGGACAGGGACACACACTGACACAGGGACAGGGGGACAGGGACACACACTGACACAGGGACAGGGGGACAGGGGGACAGGGACAGGGGGACAGGGACACACACTGACACGGACAGGGACACACACTGACACAGGGACAGGGGGACAGGGGGACAGGGACAGGGGGACAGGGACACACACTGAGACAGCGACAGGGACACTGGACACAGGGGACACTGGACACTGGACGACACTGACACAGGGGACACTGACACAGGGGACACTGACACTGACACAGGGACACGGGGACAGGGACACTGACACACAGGGGTGACACTGCCCCCTCCCCCGCCCCCCCCCCCCCTTACCTGCCCATGAGGGTACAGCTCCGGATAGTGCGGAGAGGAGAGAGAACCTTCCGGAGCCGTCAGTAACCCCCCGCAACCTACAGCGACAACACAGCGTTACCCCCAAACCCCGCACAGTGCCACCGAGTGATGGAATGGATGGGGCGGTTAGTGAGTGAGTGAGTGAGGGAGAGTGTGAGTAAGTGACAGGGTGAGTCAGGGAGTGAATGAGGGAGTGAGTGGGTGAGTGAGAGGGTGAGTGAGTGAGGGAGGAAATGAGTGGGTGAGAGGGTGAGTGAGTGAGGGAGGGAATGAGTGGGTGAGAGGGTGAGTGAGTGAGTGGGAGGCTGAGTGAATGAGTGGGTGAGTGAGAGACTGAGTGAGAGTGTGAGTGAGTGGGTGAGTGCATGAGTGAGTGAGATGAGTGAATGGGTGAGTGAGTGACTCAGTGAGAGGCTGAGTGAGTGGGTGAGTGAGTGAGTGAGTGGGTGAGAGGGAGGGTGAGTGAGAGGGTGAGTGAGTGAGTGGGTGAGAGGGAGGGTGAGTGAGAGGGTGAGAGAGTGAGTGAGTGAGTGAGAGGCTGAGTGAGTGAGCGAGTGGGTGAGTGAGAGAGTGAGTAGGTGAGAGGGAGGGTGAGTGAGAGGGTGAGAGAGTGAGTGAGAGCGTGAGAGGGAGAGTGAGTGAGTGAGTGAGGGAGTGGGTGAGTGAGAGGGTGAGTGGGTGAGTGAGTGAGAGGCTGAGTGAGTGAGCGAGTGGGTGAGTGAGAGGGTGAGTAGGTGAGAGGGAGGGTGAGTGAGAGGGTGAGAGAGTGAGTGAGAGCGTGAGAGGGAGAGTGAGTGAGTGAGGGAGTGGGTGAGTGAGAGGGTGAATGGGTGAGTGAGTGAGTGAAAGGCTGAGTGGGGGAGTGAGTGGGTGAGTAAGTGAGTGAGGGAGTGGGTGAGGAAGTGAGGGGATGAGTGAGAGGGTGAGTGAGTGACTGAGTGAGTGGGTGAGGGAGTGAGTGACAGAGTGAGTGAGTGAGTGAGTGAGTGAGTGAATGGGTGGGTGAGTGAGGGAGTGAGTGAGAGGGTGAGTGAGTGAATGGGTGATTGAAAGTTGAGAAGGTGAGTGAGAGAGTGGATGAGTGAGACGGTGAGTGAGTGGGTGAGTGAATGAGGGAGGGAGTGGGTGAGTGAGGGAGTGGGTGAGCGAGTGAGTGAGTGGGGGAGTGAGAGGGTGAGCGAGTGAGGGAGTGGGTGGATGAGTGAGATGGTGAGTTTGTGAGTGAGTGAGGGAGTGAGAGGGTGAGTGGATGAGAGAGTGGGTGAGTGAGAGGGTGAGTGAGTGAGGGAGGGAGTGAGTGAGCGAGCGAGTGGGTGAGCGAGTGGGTGAGTGAGAGGGTGAGTAAGTGAGAGATTTAGTGAGTGAGGGAGTGAGTGGATGAGTGAGAGGGTGAGTGAGTGCGTGAGTCAGTGGGTGAGTGAGTGCATGAGTCAGTGGGTGAGTGAGTGTGAGTGAGATGGTGAGTGAGTGGGTGAAAGCGTGAGTGAGTGGGTGAGTGAGAAGGTGAGTGCGTGTATGAGTGAGTGTGAGTCAGTGAGTGAGTGAGTGATTGTGTGAGTGAGAGGGTGAGTGAGTGGGTGAAAGGGTGAGTGAGTCAGTGAGAGGGTGAGTGACTGTGTGAGTGGGTGAGTGACTGTGAGTCAGTGGGTGAGTGAGTCAGTGGGTGATTGAGTCAGTGGGTGAGTGAGTCAGTGGGTGAGTGAGTCAGTGGGTGAGAGGGTGAGTGAGAGTGTGAGTGAGAGTGTGAGTCAGTGGGTGAGTGAGAGGGTGAGTGAATGAGGGAGGGAGTGGGTGAGTGAGTGAGAGAGGGAGTGTGTGCGTTGGTGGGTGGGTGGGGGGTGTGGGTGAGGGAGTGAGTGGGTGAATGAGTGAGTGAGTGGGTGAACGAGTGAGGGACTGAGTGAGTGAGGGGGGAGTGAGTGGGTGATTGAGACGGTGAGTTTTTAAGTGAGGGAGTAAGTGGGTGAGTGAGAGGGTGAGAGAGTGAGGGAGTCAATGTGTGAGTGAGAGGCTGAATGAGTGAGGGAGTGAGTGGGTGAGTGAGGGAATGAGTGGGTGAGTGAGAGGGTGAGTGAGTGGATGAGTGAGTGTGTGAGAGGGTGAGTGAGTGGGTGAGTGAATGAGGGAGGGAGGGAGTGGGTGAGCGAGTGAGTGAGTGGGTGAGGGAGTGAGTGGGTGAGTGAGATGGTGAGTTTGTGAGTGAGGGAGTGAGAGGGTGAGTGGATGAGAGAGAGGGTGAGTGGATGAGTGAGAGGGTGAGTGAGGGAGTGAGTGAGAGGGCGAGTGCGTGTATGAGTGAGAGTGTGAGTCAGTGAGTGAGTGAGTGAGAGAGTGAGTGATTGTGTGAGTGAGAGGTGAGTGAGTGGGTGAAAGGGTGAGTGAGTCAGTGAGTGGGTGAGTGAGTGGGTGAGTGAGTCAGTGGGTGAGTGAGTCAGTGGGTGAGTGAGTCAGTGGGTGAGAGGGTGAGTGAGTGAGCTGGTGAGTGAGAGTGTGAGTCAGTGGGTGAGTGAGAGGGTGAGTGATTGTGTGAGTGAGATGGTGAATGAGTGGATGAGAGGGCGAGTGCGTGTATGAGAGAGTGTGAGTCAGTGAGTGAGTCAGTGAGTGAGTGAGTGAGTGAGTGGGTGAGTGATTGTGTGAGTGAGAGGGTGAATGAGTGGGTGAAAGGGTGAGTGAGTCAGTGAGAGGGTGAGTGACTATGTGAGTGGGGTGAGTGAGTGGGTGAGTGAGTCAGTGGGTGAGTGAGTCAGTGGGTGAGTGAGTCAGTGGGTGAGAGGGTGAGTGAGTGGGTGAGGGAGTGAGTGGGTGAGTGAGAGAGTCAGTGGGTGAGTGAGAAGATGAGTGATTGTGTGAGTAAGGGAGTGAGTGGATGAGTGAGTGGGTGAGAGGGTGAGTGAATGGGTGAGTGAATGAGGGAGGGAGGGAGTGGGTGAGTGAGTGCGTGAGGGAGTGAGTGGGTGTGTTGGTGGGTGGGTGTGGGGTGTGGGTGAGGGAGTGAGTGGATGAGCGAGTGAGGGACTGAGTGAGAGGCTGAGTGAGTGTTTGAGAGGGTGAGTGAGAGGGTGAGAGGATGAGTGAGTGTGTGAGTGAGTGTATGAGTGAGTGGGTGAGACTGTGAGTGAGTGTGTGAGTGAGAGGGTGAGTGGGTGAGAGAGTGAGTGAGAGGGTGAGTGAGGGAGAGGGTGAGTGAGAGGGTGAGAGGATGAGTGAGTGTGTGAGTGAGTGTATGAGTGAGTGGGTGAGACTGTGAGTGAGTGTGTGAGTGAGAGGGTGAGAGGGTGAGTGGGTGAGAGAGTGAGTGAGAGGGTGAGTGGGTGAGAGGGTGAGTGGGTGAGAGAGTGAGTGAGTGAGTGAGTGAGTGAGGGAGAGGGTGAGTGAGTGAGAGGGACCATTGTACCCGGTTGCTCCCGGGAGCAGTTCTCCTCGTCTGTGGTATCTGTGCAGTCGGGGTGACCGTCACAGCGGGCGCCGGCCGGGACACAATGGCCGGAGTCACACAGGAACTCCTCCCGGTCACAGCTCCCTGTGGGGGGGAGACAACCGCGATCAGACACAACAGAGTCTGACAACAACAACAATGATAATAATCCTGGCATTCGGTGCAGCGCCTTATCACGTCTTAGAGGCGTCTCAAAGCGTTTCACAGAATATACTGTAAAGTGAATTGACTGTATTTTGTGGGCAAAACATGGCAGACAATTGCACAGCAGCGTCACACAAACAGCTGTGGATTGAGTGACGGTTGTTTCTATCTCCCTCCCTCCCTCTCAAAAAAAGGTAAAACACCGGCAGATGCTGCAAATCTGAAATAAAATAAGTATCTACTGAGAAGTAGATAATTATAAGGGGAGGACAAGTTTGCAGGGCTATGGGGAGAGAGCGGGGGAGTGGGGTTGATCAGGGCTATGGGGAGAGAGCGGGGGAGTGGGGTTGATCAGGGCTATGGGGAGAGAGCGGGGGAGTGGGGTTGATCAGGGCTATGGGGAGAGAGCGGGAGGAGTGGGGTTGATCAGGGCTATGGGGAGAGAGCGGGAGGAGTGGGGTTGATCAGGGCTATGGGGAGAGAGTGGGGGAGTGGGGTTGATCAGGGCTATGGCGGGAGTGGGGTTGATCAGGGCTATGGGGAGAGAGTGGGGGAGAGGGGTTGATTTGGAAGCTCTTTTCAAAGAGCGGCACAGACAAAATGGGCCGAATGGCCTCCTTCTGTGCTGTATAATTCTGTGGTTTGGCCGGGACGCTTAGCGGGTCCGGCAGTGTCTATGGAGAGAGGAAAGTGGGTCAATGGTTCAGGTCGATGACCTTTTGTCAAAACTGGAGCTGTTGGAAAGGAGCAGATTAAGGAGAAGCGAAAGTCCGGCTCACGATCTCCCGGGTGATTTGCTGTGGGATAAACACAGGTGTGTGGAATAAGGAAACTTGCTCAAGGTTTTGTCCCAACAGGGAATCCAGCGCAGGCGAGTGCTCTAAGCACCTCACTGCAGGACTCTACAATGTCCAGCACACATTCACACTCCACGTGTCTCACACACGCTCACACGCAACACGTATGGCGCCTATGCTGTGACTAGCCCACTCACTGGCGCTGGGCGGGATGAGCTGGTAACTTGCGGTGAAGCCCGGGGTTCTCCCGGTGCCATCAGACAGGAAGGAGACGCGGAGGCGGCTGGAGTTGGTGTTCACTGTCGGGGGAGAGACATTCCCACAAAATCTGCAACAGCAACATTCCCAGGATTACAACAACAAGATTCCATTTATAGAGCGCCTTTCCCAAAGCGCTGGACAGTTGGGTCAGGACCCGAGCATTGTGAAAATGGTCAGGGTGAGGGGAGGGAAGGGAGGGAGCGAGGAGGGGGGAAATGGTCAGGGTGAGGGGAGGGAAGGGAGGGAGCGAGGAGGGGGGAAATGGTCAGGGTGAGGGGAGGGAAGGGAGGGAGCGAGGAGGGGGTAGAGAGTCGAGAGGGGAGCTGAAGGCTGAAGGTCAAAGAGAAAGGTCTTGAGACCGGCCTTGAAGGAGGAAAGGGAGGAAGCGGCGAAGGCACTGGGGATGGAGTTCCAGAGCCTCGGGGCTGAAGGCCCGGCCACCGATGGTAAGGCGGTTGGGGCGGGGGATGTGGATTACAGCACCGAGCCGGGATCGGGAATAAACACCTGGACACGAGGCGTTAGGAGAGAGTGAGGAGGCACGCTGATAGGAATCAGCTGTCACCGGCATGTGGCGAGGAGCGAGGCGTGGGGTGGGAGCGAGGGGTGTGGGGAGGGGAGCAAGGGGTGCGGGGAGGGGGAGCGAGGCTTATGACGTGAACACGGACCTGCCGATGTTGCGGGAGTGATGTCCGTCTCCGGGCTCCTCAGTGAGCTCCAGCCAGGTGCGGTGACACTCCCCGCTCAGCACCAGGATTTTGAGCTGAACCACGTATCCCGGCCCCCCTTCAATCCACCACACGCACCGCAGCCACCCGGGAGAGGGGGCTGGGGCCGAGAGAGAGCCTTTGGGGGCTCGCAGGGTCCCACCGCAAACTGCAAGCACACGCACATCACATGGCAAATGGTCTCCCGACAAGGAAACTCTGTGCCACCCCTCTCCCAATCCTAACACCTCTCCCAATCTCGTTACTCAGGATATTCAGCCCCTCAAGTTGTTCCGCCATTCTATTAGATCACAACAACAACAAGATTCCATTTATAGAGCGCCTTTCACGTCAGGAGGACGTCCCAAGACGCTGGACAGTTGGGTCAGGACCCGAGCAGGGGGGAAATGGTCAGGGTGAGGGGAGGGAAGGGAGGGAGCGAGGAGGGGGGAAATGGTCAGGGTGAGGGGAGGGAAGGGAGGGAGCGAGGAGGGGGTAGAGAGTCGAGAGGGGAGCTGAAGGCTCGGTCAAAGAGAAAGGTCTTGAGACCGGCCTTGAAGGAGGAAAGGGAGGAAGCGGCGAAGGCACTGGGGATGGAGTTCCAGAGCCTCGGGGCTGAGAGGCTGAAGGCCACCGATGGTCGGGCGGTTGGGGCGGGGGATGTGGAGCAGACCGGAGCCAGAGGAACGGAGGGTACGGGCAGGTAAGTAGGGGGATAGTAGGTCGGAGAGGAAGGAGGGAGCGAGGCCGTGAATGGCCTTGTAGGTGAGGATGAGGATCTTGAATTCGATCCTCTGGGGGATGGGGAGCAGTGGAGGCGAGCGAGGGTGAGGGTGAGGACGAGGGTGAGGGCGAGGGTGAGGACGAGGATGAGGGTGGGAGTGATGTGGTCGCGGTGTCTGGTGCGGGACAGTACACGAGCTGCAGAGTTCTGAATGACCTGCAGTGTGGAGGGAGGGCCGGGAAGGCCGACGAGGAGAGAGTTCCCATAGTCCGGCCTTGAGGTGATAAAGGTGTGGACCAGAGTTTCAGCCGCGTGAGGGGTGAGGTAGTGCCGTAGTCTGGCGACATTCCGGAGGTGATGGAAGGCGGTGCCAGTTGTGGTGCGGATATGAGGGAGAAAGGACAGCTCAGGGTCGAGGGGAACCCCGAGGTTCCTGATGGCTTTGAGAGGTGGAGAGTGCGGAGCTGATGCTGTCAGCGCCTGAGGTGCGGAGGCGCTGACGTGAGCCAATCAGGAGGGCCTCAGTTTTGCGCACATTGAGCTGAAGAAAGTTGTCTCTCGTCCCGGACTCGATGTCGGACAGACAGCTGTCAGGACATCGGGGGTCGTGGAATTGAGGTCACAACTGATCTGTACCTCAAGTCCAGTTACCCGGCTTTGCCCCATATCCCTCAATATCCCGACCTAACAAACATCTGCGCAACTCTGTCATGAAGAAGTGAATGGATCCGGCCATAATCCACAGACTTTTGGGGGAACGAGTTCCAGATTTCAACTCCTCTTTGGGTGAAAAACCTCCCCGGATTTCACTCCTAAACTGCCTTCCTGTTCCCAATCTCATTCTCAATTCCTATCCCAAATAACTCAAAGCCAATCACTCCGTCGCGCTGGGATCACTCACAAGGGGAGGTGCTGGAGGCTGCTGAGGGTGTCGGGGGCTCTGCCTGCTCTGCGCCCAGTGAGGGAGGGGCTGTGGGAGTCGTCTGGTTATTGCTTGTGGGGGTCCGGCTGGTCACTGCCCCCAAGTCCCCATCCCCGCCTCCCACTCCAACTCGGAGATTAAACTCTGCCAGAGAGAGACAGACAGAGAGAGGATTCGGTCAGATGAGCAACTTAAGTACAACACATATACACACTCCCCCACCCATCCACAGCTCAGTGTAGTTCAGTGGTTCACAAGTGAGAGGACCTGGGTTCGATTCCCAGTCGGGGTGAAACATTGGGCAAGTTTCCTTACTCCACACGCCTCTGTTTACCAGCAGTAAGTAGGAACCTGGTTGTTAGGCAATTGATTTCCAGGGGTAATAATCCCTTCAAATAAATAAATAATAATAATGTGGTCTCTCAATACACGGCTGTTTGTGGGATGCTGCTGTGTGCAATTGGTTGCTGCGTTTCGCCCACAAAATACCGTCACTACCTTCCCGGGGCTGGGCTACTCACGGATGATGAAGACGGTGAGAGTCACACCAACAGTCAGGATCAGGATTGCAGCCCAGACCATGAGGCAATGCCAGAGCAGCCCCCGCCCTGTGGCTCCCGGCCCCCAGCCCCCCACAACAGCCACTGCGGAGAGGGAAGAGAGCAGTCAACACCAGCCTGGAGAGGTCACTAATCCCACGCCCCCACACTGGGCTCCCGCACTAGGCTCCCCTATGGTCCCCCCCAACCACACTGGACTACCCTCCCCCACACTGGTCTCCCCCACCCTCATTGAGCTCCCCTCCCCCCACACTGGGCGTCCCCACTTTCCCCCCACCCACACGGGGCTCCCCTCGCCCCTCACACTGGGCTCCCCCCACTTCCCTCCCACCTGCACTGGGCTCCCCCACCCACTCACCGCCTGTGAGCTGTGCCTTGGGACCCTCCCCTACACCCCCCCTCGCCTCTTCTCCACTTTGATGTTCAGGCTCATAGGCTGGGTTTACAAAGTCCGTCTGTAAAGAATCACAATCATTACATTTATAATCAATAATCACAAACATAATCAATAATCACATCAGTAATCTCCCAGGTGTTTAAACGCGTGATAAAGGAACGTGTTAAACTCTCAGCCAGTTTGAGAGGGTGAATGGGAGCATCACTGGAAGAGTTACAGGGCAGAATCTCTGAGGCAAGTCAGAGTTCATGTAAATCACCCTCACACGGCAGCTTTCACTAGCACCTAGTCCCCCCCACCCCTCCGCGACCTGCAAACCCCCACCCCCCGGGATAGGGCACAAGAGCAGGACTGGACTGCACAGCACCTACGTAGTGTCTCTTCCCATTCCCACCCCACCATGGCACAGCACCAACACATGGGCAGTTGCTTCAGTGTATACAATGTAATAATAATCCTTGTATTTGATAGTGCCTGGTCACGTCGTTGAGACGTTTCAAAGCGCTTCATCGGATATACTGTAAAGTGTAGTGACTTGTGTATTTTGTGGGTGAAACGCGGCAGCAATTGTGCTCAGCGTGGATTGGACTTAATAAAAAGTAAAAATATGTATAATTGTGGCTTCACTGTCACTTCTCGCCCCTGTACCTTACTCCTCTCCTTGGATTCTTCCAGGTTGATCTCTGTGAACTCTTTCTTTTGTCTCATTCTCCAGGGTCATCAGCAAAGGTGCTCAGCCTTCTTGCACTTCTCGGGTAGTCTCTCTCACTCGCTCCTGGCCGGCAGTGTGAGCTCAGTGTGTGCTGCAATCACCAACTTGTACCCGAGACCTTCGTGGTGACCGTTTCTCAGACATTCATAAAGAAACAAACTTTCTAACTGCTGTGAAAAGTCTTATTGAGTGTGTGTGAGTGTAGGACCCACCCTCAGTACTCGCTGACTGCCTGTCTGCCTCTCACACTGTCACATGCCAGGGCTTAGCCAAGGCACATTCTAGCTGGTAGCACAACCGTGAGCAGAGCTGGAGGGAGGGAGGGAGGGAGGGAGGGGGAGAAGCGATGAATGTTTGAGAATAGAAATGGTGACAAACTTTCTTCCTGGCTGGTGAGTCAAGGTCAAACAGAAACAACTTGCATTTTATATAGGGCTGTTCGGAGAGCTTAAACAAACGGGGGATGGGAAGATACAGCCAGGTTTGTGTGGGGTGAAGAACATCCGCCCCACTCACCCCCCCGCTCCCGACCCCATGCACCTGCTCGCCCACCCCTCCATCAGCACCCCATCCCCCCACCCCCCATGCACCCCATCGCCCCCAAAAGGAAACACCAGGCTCCGTAAACAAAGTGCAGTTTTATTCTTTTGCTCCAGAACATTCCAATTAACCCTTTCATTTCGGATGGAAATAAAATAGTTACAACAAACATAGTGTGTGAGGGCGATTATTTCCTGAAACTCCTGCAGTTACTATGGCAACCAAGGCACAGCCCTCTCTCACTCGTAGGGTTTCCACCTCATTCATTACTGGGGGGGGGCAGGAGGGAGAGCAGGAAGGTGAGCCAGAGGTGGGGCAAACAGTCAAGCACCACCGTCTCTGAGCAGCTCCGTCACCTGAGCCCACAAAAGAGGGGCCAGACGGTCCCCTCCACACACACTCTACGTGGAGCATGAGTGAGGCGGAGGGGAGTATGAGGAAAGGGAAAGGTGGGGGGTGGGGGGAGAAAGAAAATCATGCTGAAGATTTTTTTAAAACTAAAAATGAAAATATGTAATTAGTTCCTGCAGACCATGTCTGGTGGGAGAGGGAACAGCTCAAATCCAGACCACCCCACCTACCCTCCCCGTTCTGGCTGGTAAAGCATGTATCCAAACCGGAATACAATCTGGTTCCTTATGGGAGCATGGAATCCCGCAGAAACTGCTGGAAAAAACTCAAGAGCCCACCCCACGGTGTAATGTCAACATTCAGACGCTCGCACACAGCGAGCCCTCACACCCTCAGATTGGATACATCAATATAGATTTACTTTGTTAAAATGTTATGTACAAATCCTCACTGTTGAATATAAAATATTATCTCCTGTGCTTGTTTACATAGTAAACCCACAACATAACAACACAGCCCAGCCCGAGCAACCTCAACCCTCTCTCGTCGCATGGGGGTGTGGGAAAGGAGACTGTTCAACGCTCCGTGAATAAATAAATAACTCTGGGAGTGGACACAAGGCAGCGACACAGGGAGCAGAGAGAGTGTGGGGAGATTAGCTGCATTATAGTGACAATTGCCCCTTTCCCCGTCTCCCCCCAATCACACACACACACACAGCTCTCCTCTTCCCACCAAACACACAGCTACACTCCCACCACACACCTCCCTCCAGCCCTTTGTTGCAATTTCCTGAGCTGGATTGCGTCGAGGGAGGCTGGTATGGATGCACCACGGGAGAGGGCTCAATGTATACACACGCGTGTGTTTGTGCGTGTGTGCATGTACAAGGGAAGAGCTGACAGAAAAACACCCAAGGCTCTGAAAACAAACTCCCTCTAAACTGTGCGTCCAAACTCCCAGGTCAGGGTTAGAGACGCAGTAAAGCTCCTACGTGTAACCTCAGAATACTGCCCTCTGGAGTTCACTGCCACTGACAACTGAATGGCTTTACTGAGTGAGTGTGAGGTGAACAGACACAAGTGCAGAATCCCCCCCTCCATGCGTTATGTACTCCCACCCCACCCGAGGCCTCAGCGCTGGGACAGGAAGGAGTCTTTCTTCTATGTAGCAATTCAGGAGCTTTTTAATGCTTGAAAAAGAAGCGCAAGGTTAATCTTCAACTTAGAGAAACATCTTGCAAATAGGTGGGGGTGGACGGGCATTGGGGGACTCTCAGCCTGGCCGGGAGAGTGAGAGGGTTTCAGGACAGTTTCCAGCCCCCGCACTGCACTCCCCTCACTCCCCACCTTCTGAGCTGGTGTAAGGTTGAGAGAGACCGAGACAGCTGAGTGCATGTGTGTTTGCACTTGTGTTGTACATGTGTGCTGAGAGGGGGGAAAAGAGTTAGTTTCCCCTCTCCCTCCCCGACTCGCTCTCTTGCTCACTCAAGGTTGTGTCCTCACACTGACCTTTGACACAGAGAGGGGGAGGGGAGCGTCATCGTGGGGGCAATCGATGGCGACAAGCCTCACTGTTTGTAGTCGCTTTGTGACCGTGGCACCCCCCCCCCCGAGGCTGTGTCCAGTACGTGGGAGGATGGGGCAGGGGATGGGGCAGGAGGGGGGAGAAGAGGAGTTACATCCGTGAGGAGGGGCTGGAGAGTTCATAAAATAAAACGTAGGCGTCGCTGCTCCGTACCTGGCTGGCCGTCATCGGGGAAACTCTGTGGAGGGAGGGGAGAACAGGCGTCATTAGTGAGGGTCTCCCAGGGGCCTCCTTCCAGCCGCTCCCCATGATCCCGACCCCAGCTCCTTCCCACGTTTCCACCCCCCGGCCCCTCCCCAGATTCACCCCCCCCCAACCCCTCTTCACTTTCCTCCTGGCTCCTCCCCCCTCGCTTTCCACTGCCCCCCCCCCCCTTGCTCATACAAGCTTTGTGCTCCCTCTGTGGTCCCCCAGCACTCCCCACTCCCCCGCTTGCTCCCAACCACCCCCCCACTCTCCCCCCTCGCTTGCACTTACCTGGAGTCGTTGAAGCTGAACCACTCTGTGGAGAGCGGGTGCCGGCAGTACGCTGTGTAGTGGCCGCCCATGGTAGTGCCCGAGTGGTTGGAGACGGCGTACAGGTTATACACCGCATTCACTGTGGGACACAAACCAGCTTAGCTCCTTTGTGTGGCCATCAACACGAGCACAGCAACGCTCCGGTCAAACAGCAACACAGGTTTACTGAGTCTTGCAGGTTTCTGCTAACCCACCTTCTCAGGGCTCTGTCATTTTAATTTCTCCCCCTTGGTGACATCATCCACAGACATGGCATCAACTTCCACATATATGCGGATGACACCCAACTCTACCTCTCTGCCTCCACCCTCGATTCCAGGATAACTGCTATCCTCACATCAAAGTGCCTGTCGGACATCAAAGTCCTGGATGAGAGCTAACTTCCTGCTGTTGTATGTCAACAAGACCGAGGCAATCCTGCTTGGCTCCCTTCACACCTCCACACCTGACACTGACATCTCCCTTCATGGACCCACTCTACATTTCACGGAGCCAATACGGAACCTTGGCATCCTGTTCGACCCTCAGCTGCCCTTCATATCCTACACCCGTTCTATGAAGCGCTCCGACTTGCCCCACCTCGGCTCCGTCACTGTCTCACACTGCAGGTCGCCAAGATTCTCATGTGCATATTCATAACATCCAGGCTCGACTACACAAACTCCCTTCTTATCAGCCTCCCCAACTCCTCCCTCCATAGGCTGCAGATATTCCAGAGCTCTACAGCCCGTGTCCTCCCCTGCACCAGGCTCCATGATCCTATCACCCCCTTCCTAGACCAACTCCACTGGCTTCCCATCACACAGAGGACACAGTTCAAGGTCCTGGTCCTCACCTTCAAAGTCCTCCATGGTTTTGCTTCCCCCGACCTCTGGAACCTCCTAACCCCCAACCATTCTGCCTGCTCCCTCCGCTCAGCAGGATCCAGCCTGCTTCACGTCCCCCGCCTCACTTGCCCCACTATTGGCGGATGGGCCATCCGCCAATCTGGCCCCACCCTCTGGAACTCCATCCCGCAGTCCCTCCGCCTTGCCCCCCTTCCCTTGCCTCCTTCAAGAGCCGTCTCAAGACCCTCCTCGTCGAACTTACCTTCAGTCACCCTCCTTTACTCTATGCCCTCCACCCGGATCCCGACCCCCAGCTCAGGTCTGAAACATTGATTATACAGCACCTTGGGACGTCCTCCCGACATGAAAGGCGCTATACACATGTAAAATCCAACTCATTCAGAACTCTGCCGCCCGCATTCTCACCCACACGAAACTCCGCTCCCCGATGCCCCCAGTCCTGGCCAGACTGCACCGGCTGCCTATCCCAGAGAGGATCGATGTCAAGATCCTCACCCTCGTATTCAAGTCCCTGCACTCCTCTGTACTCCCCGACCTCTGACCTCCTCTCCTCAGCACAGTACCCGTTGCCTTCGTTCTTCCGGGTCTGGCCTCCTCCTCGTCCCCCGAGTCCTCCTCTCCACCCTCGGCGGCCGTGCCTTCAGCCTCTATGCCCTGAGGCTCTGGAACTGCCGTCCTCACTCCCTCCCTATTTTCAGGTCTCTGCTGAAGACCTTTCTTTTCGACCGCATCTTTGGTCACCTTCCCCCCCCCTCCCCCTGGCTCAGTCCCGGGATCCTAAACTGTAAAGCGCTCTGAGACGCCGTCTGGCATGGAGGGTGCTATGTAAATCCAAGTTGTTGTTGTTGTAATTTTGATTGTTTGTTCTCCCATCACTGCTGACCACAGCCTGTCCCACTTACCCCCTTCCTTGCCCCCTCCCCCAACCCTGCCCTAACCCTTGCCCTGCGCCGCCTTCCACCGCAGTTCTCACCATTGTGCTCCGAAGAGAACTCTCGAAGGTCGAGATCCTTCAGGGGGAAGTTTACGAAGGTGGAGAGCTTGCTGGTGCGGATGCGGGATTCAGAGAATCGCTTCAAATCTACACAGCACAGCCAGTCAAGGTGTTAATCATAGACAGGGAGAGAGACAGACAGACAGGCAGCATGGCAGCCAAGAGAGTCTGCGTGTGAGAGAGAGAGAGGCGCGCGCGCGCGCACGCACACACACACACACACACACACACACACACACAGAGGGAGAGACACGGGGAGAGAGAGACACACACAGGGAGAGACAGAGAGACACACACACACACACAGACACACAGTGTTGTTTAGTAACATGGTTCTCTGGATGTCTGAAGCACCGGCCAGTGTGAGGAAGGATACGGAGAACCAGGATCTTTGGGAACTTCTGAATTGTGAATTTTTTAGTGCATCTTCTCCGGGCTTTACACCTGTAGCATGTCTGTAACCCAACACACGCGTATCAGTCAGTAAACCACACGCAAGTCTCAATGACACCAAGAAACAGGCTACTGTCAGACGTCAGTCACATTCTGCTTACTATATAAATATTCTGTTTACTACAGTAAATTACTGGTCTCGCTCACCGGCTTCTCATCACCGTCCAGGACATCCTCTTTGGTGAAGAGACGGATACAGTCCATTAGGGAGACCTCCCCGTAGCCTTTCTGCAACACATGTCAATGCAACGAAAGTCATACACCAACATGCCACATGCCAACGCAGCACATGCAGCTCATGCTACACACCAACGCATCACATGTTACACACCAATGCACCACACACTACACACCACAGATGTCTGGGAGTGAGGCAGACATTGCAGCCACCTCCCCCCTCCCCTCTCACTATCCTTCCCCACAGGGCACAGATAGACAGAAAGCTCCCTCCAGGCGCTCACTGACCTTGGAGATGGGGAGTGACAGGTCCCAGAATGGGTCGAAGACGGTGGAGCAGTAGCCACACTCACTGCATGTCAGTGAGCTCTTCAACTGGCCGACAAACAGATCTGAAAATCCAGGAGCCACAATCAACAACAACAACTTGCATTTATATAGCGCCCCTCACGCAGGCTAGCATCCCAGAACTACCCAATCAGCCTGTGACCAGTAAGCAGCGCTTTACCCCTGGCATCGTTACCGACCCCAAGACAGGACCAGGCATGGTGAGTAAGGCGGCAGATTAGCACCTTGGACATCGAGCCTCACCCACAGGCCCATGAATGGAACTGAGCTGAGATGAAGCTAATGACAGTTGTAATAAACCTTGCATTTAATATAGCGCCTAATATTGACGACTCAAAGCAACTTCGCAGAATATACTGTAAAGTGAACAGACTATAATTTATGGGTGTAACGTGGCAGCCAATTGCGCACAGCAGTGGCCCACAAACAGCCATGGATTGAGTGACCAAATCATTATTTTTTAATCATTGATTTTTTGAAGGGATTATTACCCCAGAAAAGCGATAGGCCATTCAACTAACAAACAGGTTCCTGCCTACTGCAAGGTGAACAGAGATGTGAAATAAGGAAACTTGCCGAAAGTTTTGCCCTGCCCGGGTATCGAACCCAGGTCCTCTCGCTTGCAAGGCAAATGCTCTAACCACTCAGCTACAGGATGCATGTATCTTGTGTTTTGGAGGTGATTAAGCACTCAGAGTCACTACCCTGCGTAAAATGCACTATATAAATGCAAGTTGTGTTTGTGTTGGGGGTGTATGTGGTATTTGAGGTGCATGTTGTATGTTGCGCGCGTGTGTGTCTGTTTGTCTCTGTGTTGGGGGTGTGTGTGTGTTTGAGGGGCATGTTGCGCGTATGCGTGGGTGTCTGTGCACTCACCCACAATCCGACTGTCCTCTCGCTCCAGGTACTTTTTCCACATTTGTTTCCCCTTTTCATCATCGCTGGACAGAAAGAGAGAGGGCGGAGAGAACATGATAGACACACTCAGACCCGACCAGACAGACCAAATTAATTAATAAACTAACGATTAGTAGAATTAGTAAACTAATGATTAATAGAATTCAGTACTCTCTATATTTTCAATCCCGTGCGCTGTATAACCGTGGCTGGCACTTACGGTAAGTGGTCGAGATCCTCGGCGCTGGCTTTGGGCCTCGTCAGGACACGGTTCACCTCATTGTGGAGACCATCAAGCAGGAAGCGGAGAAACTCCTGCGCGTCTTGCTGACTGCACGCACACAACAGGCTTGTCAGTCAGGCACGCGGACACACACACATACACCCACATACGCACCTCCCCACACACACACACACACACACAACACGCCCCCTAAATACACACACAACCCAAACACCCCCCCACCCATCTAAAACATACAACACGGCCCCTAAACACACACAGAAGCCCCTAACACAGACATACACACAACTTGTATCTATCTATGGGTCCCTACATGCGGGGTAGTGTCTCGGATTGTTTAATCAACCCCAACACACGCACAACGACACACTCTTCCAACACACCCACGGTCACAACATGCACTGTTCCTGTGCCCCCCAGCTGCAACTCACTTGTACCCCACGAATCTGGGGGCGTATTTCTGGATCTGTGTCTTGAACTCGGATGGGCTGACCGGCTCCGTACTCGACAGTGTCCACAGCATCTGTAGCAGCTTCGCGAACTCTGCGGGACAGCGAGGGGTTAAACACGCACATTAACCATTCATCACCGTCACTCTCCCCAATTGCTGCCTGGTCTCAGTGCTGGGGTGGGGCAAGAAGAGCCTCTACTCCTAATCACTGAGCAATCAGCCCCCCACATGTCTGGATGCACAATCTCCTTCAGGAGATACAACATCGCTGTCCGTCTCCCCCCTTCTCTTTTCTTCTCACTGTCTGCCCCTCGATCTGAGTGTCTTTCCTCCCCACCCACCACCCCAGTGTCTGGAAACACACAGATTCATTCAGGAGATACATACACTCCCCTATTTCCCTCCCACTTCTGTCTCTTCAAACCCTTCCCTTCGCCTCTGCTCCTCCCCTCCTGACATACCCTCCATCAGTGCGGAGTTCATGCGGCTGCGAACATTGAGATCCCGCCGGTACATCGAGCCCTGGATACAGTAGTCGCGAAGCTCCCGAGTGTGGCTTAAACACTGCAGGATTGAGTTCATGAAACACTGAAACA